TTTGTTAAGCTTCTCCTTTTCAATTCTTACTTGCAGTTCATTGTTTTGTTTCGCCAGATATAACATTTTGCAGCCGATCGCCTCGTCATCGTCGCTGTTTCCACCACTCAGTGCAGGTAAATACTTGTTACATATTGCTGCAACAATAGATATGTCATCTCCGACAAAAGGGATCAAACTATTTGGCAGAACTTTATCGAAATATTTCCATGACTTTAGCCTTGCGTTCGCCGATTCCACAACCCATCTTATTTTTGTGACGAGCCTTGATGTGTTACTTTGTTCTGTTGCTAACTGTCTTTGGCCTTTTGTTAAGAATGCTGGCATTTCACTTCTTATACCAACTTCGTCGAGAAAGTCAACTGAATCTCGAAACCCTCTATCGACCACAAAAACGTCACCTTCTTTTAGCCAACTCTTAATTTCCTCGGTGTCATGTGCAAACGCATGTTTCAGAATGTTTGAATCATTGTTTTGATAGTCTGAGAGATAAGGACCAAGTATACTGACAAAGTATCCAGTCATGGTCACGATCACCATTGGTTTGATCAAAGGTCGATGTTTGTGCAGATTGTAAGAGCGCCAATGGAATCGAAAATGGGAGCTCTTCTGTATGTATATATATGTCCCATCTAGGACGAGAATGGCGGGATTTAAACCTTGACCAAAGAGTGTTTGAGCCAACGGACGTGTGTGATTGGTAATGACGTCATCCCTCGTTACGTGGTGGAAACCAATATTATGAGGTACAAATGTTTGCAATAGATTTTTTCTAATTGACTTAATTAATTGCACGTCGGACTGAGTCTTTGGAAATCTGTAGCAGAGTTGCAAGAACTTTATTTGACATCCCTGTTTTCAGCTTCGTAAGATATATTCCAAGACAGGTGCTTGCACTCCTTACGTGTGTGTCTCTAACAGAGGTTAAATAGGTCAAAAGGTTGGCAAAGGACGCTTTGTCTAGGCCTGTAAGAGTTTTGAAATCTACATCTCCGAAAGTGGAATCAAAATCTTTTCCTTTTCCCTCTCTTTTTAGTAAAGCTTCTTACTTAAGAGATTCATTATGTCACTTCGGTTGAAATCTGTACTTTTCTGAAGTGGCTCATAAGATTTAGCGCTTCATCAGTAATTGCACCATCTGTAATGTGTACTGGGCAACACCTTGCTCCATAAGGTATAATTATGTTTTTATACAAAAAGCAATTAAATCGAGCATTTGATGAAACAACGACTAATTTTGGGCCACGTTTTCTACAAATGCAGCACGTTGAATGACCTCCTCCTGTTGACGAAAGTGGAAGACTTATATTTTTCGGTGAAAAAACAGATGGTTCAGAATGGACAACTTTGGATGGTATTTGTGGTTTAGTTTTTTGGGCTGAATGCGTATAGTACTGCCGTCTGCATTTACCACACAATACATCGTTTTCATGGATGGTTACCATAAAGTTTTTCTGAAGATACTTTCTTAAATGTTTATTGCTGTCGCCGGATAAAAATCGCCTTTCTGCGGGTTTAGTTCTTTTTTCACAAAGAATGCAGGGAAAAGCTCTTCTTGATTCTGTCATTCTAAATAGAAAAATATTTACAATATTTATTTTATTATTTACATCTTGTGATATGAGAAAAAAAGAATTTAAAGGATACTGTATTTTAATGTACAATGATAAAAAACAAAGCACGCGCATTTCTTTTTTTTGGGGGGGGGGGGGGGGGCATTATCATCATTATTTTACAGTAAGCAATAATTATGAAAGAAAAAAATTCATAGAGTTTAGAAAATACCATGCACTTGGGGATATACATTTTTGTTCTGAAGATTGAACTACCGTATAAGTGAAAATTTTAACGAGACGCAAATTTAGCGATTTCTATCAAAATCTTGTATTTTATATTTTGCGAGAAGTAATTTTAGCGATTTTAAAATGCTAAGGAAGCTATATATTACAAATAAAACAACGTAATCACATATCGAGAATTACTCAGTAAACGTACGAAAGACATTCATGTATGTTTAACAACACCCCCAACATATGTACTAAATAATGTATTGGAGTTTGGAATCTTCCTTTTTTTGCAGGACAGAGTTTTCTGATTTTTTATCTTTAACCGGATGTTGCCCTCTTGCCTAGGTTTTCAAATGATACTTGTAAATTTACTTTGTCAATGAGTATTTGTGTTCCCAGAATATACGATATACATTGCTCGCGTCACTAAAGGAGTAAAAATTCTACATACAATATTGAAGTTGTTGTGAGCTGTAAATGGTATGCTTGATATTAAACAGTTAATTCTGCGTAATCGAGCTTCATATATATATGAATATTCAAACTTTTATAACTGTAAATGAAGAAGTCCTATTTCTGGACACAAGAAAAAGTGTCAAATATGTAATTTTCATTTGTGTAACTTGAAACTTAAAGGAAATGATTTTATTGTACTATTCGACGACGGATGGCTGGGGAAGCTCCATTTATCAGGTGCCTATGCGGGGAATTAGATGGACGAAATGAACTAAGCAAATATTTAAATATTCTACACCAAAATTAATAATTAAACTAAATATGTAAATTATCCCAATCTCGAAATATATGTTTGGAATATGCCATGGTATAAATAAATAGATCAACCTTTTTGAAACATTGTCTTGTTGCCCCCCCCCCCCTTTCCCCTCCAAGGATCAGTCACCATATAAACTTATGTATATAATAACAATCATGATGAAATTGTTTACCTTTAAAATTTGTATCTGTTGATTGTTCCCACCTCTCACAACACTGTATGCACCCGCTACATTCTCGTCCTTATGAGAAAACGAATGTAAACAATTTGATCCGCCTCTAATCCATCTGTAAAATTATGTGACGTCATGTTTTTACATGTTTTGAATACACCATCTACTTATAGGATTGTTATGTTGTTTTGAATTAAATTTCATGTCCAATGCAGTTTTATTTCTAGAAAGCTGGCCACTGCTTTATTTCATTCTATATGGGAAGTGCTATTTGGTACTTGTCATGCAATTTTTGTTAGTCTAAGGTTGCATGTAATCTACCGTCAAATCACCCAAGTTTTAATAAAACGGAGAGAAGGAGGGAAAAGCATCGATAATCAGTGTGAATGAATACAGATTCATGGTATTGACTATTACATATTTAAAGGCATATACATGTATATTTACGGATTTACCAATGTATCAACGAATATTTACTGACCAGACGACAAGGTATTTTCATCAATGTTTGATGTATAGTTAGTTATTCGTGAAAAAGGAACATGCAATGTGTGACCCGTTTATTTTACCGTCACACTCTAATTACATTATAAAATTTTATATTTACCTTCCGTATGATCAATAATTTTCCTTGCTCATCATAAGCATTTGGTACCTAAACATCTTAGGTCTGTTTTCACTTGGCACAAAGCGGAAGCACTCGTTGTTACGTAGATAGCGTACATGTAGGTAGCAACTCGGAACTCATTATACTCAGCATCACCCCCCCCCCCTTTGTCAGGCTTTTACGAAGGACTTTTACTGGGGAATAAACATGTAAATCCTTAAAACGGTTAAAATAGTTAACTCATATATTAACGAAAGAGAATGGCTTTTGATTACAATGGGACTGTAATCTATTTAGATTTTAATTATTTCGGAATAACAGAAAATGTTACCATCGCAGTATAAGTTTTGTTAAAATTTATACTCTCCGCACGCACCCACCAAAAAGATATTTTGCTCCGTAAATTCTGGAACTGTGATAAATAAATGAAGAAAGTTTTAAGTTGGTGGGTGCATGCGGAGGTACTGAAATATCAAAGAAAATGTCAGAAAATTACATGTTTTCGGGATTTTTCGGGAAACATCATGAGTTTGATCAGTATTTGTGACGTCATTGATGCACTATAATTAAATTTTAAAATGTTTCTGTGAAAAACAGTTTCCAAACATTAATAATATAAACAGTTTTCATAATTGTGATTACTTTAAAATTTTGTGAATTTTGGGGCCATTTTAGGGCATTGGAGCCTCTTCCTTTTTCCTAAATTCACCGTTCATTGCTATATAATAGATTCATTTCTCAATGATTGATCCATGGAACATATATAGAATCCAAAGGACACAAAAGATGAACGAGAAGCATGCGTTTTCACTTCTTACACACAACCTTGGGCTTTTTGTTTATTGAAATATCCATTTTTCCCGCATTTAGCACAAAATTTAGCTCACGAAATTCAAACGGAATCTGTAATTTCGTTCGGTGATTTATGACCATTTGTCCACCTAGTCCCGCGTTGTTTGAGTGAGTGTCTATCGTTCTTTTAAGGAGTGGCTGGAGTAAAATCCTTCCGAGTTCAAAACCTTCACACGAAAGAGAAAGTGTTGCATTTAAATAAAAAAATACATCAGAAATAGTCTCCCAATTTCATAGAAAATGCTGGAACAGTTGTTGGTGTAAAATACTTCAAATCCTATTACTATACAAAAACCAGAAGTCTCTGTCGAGACTGAAGCTCTACTGGTTTGAACTTATAGCAAAGGAAGAGAAAAGTACTTAAGCAGCTGGGATTTGAAACTAAATAGAATAATGATCGTTGAAAAATTCTCTTTATGTTCTTAGTGTAGTCTACTTGTGTGCCAAGTTATACTGAAATCAGACCAAAACTGTAGGAGGAGTAGCATTTTGAAACAATTTTACAGACATTTCTATTTTTAGTAACCACGGCAACACCGTTCATCAAAATTGAAATTCGATACACAGAATTGTGTATCTTAGGCCAAAGTTTTTATTTTTTTTAGTTTACGATTTTTTGCCACAAAAATATGCATTGGGTGGTCGAAAAATAAAAATAAAAATAATTTGGAACCTTGACATATTTTTTTCTCGAAAAGCTTTGAAATCTATTAAAATAAAAAGAAAAGCACAATATATATTTTTGTCAACTTTTATTATTTTTTAACTTCACTTTTTGTTCACTTTTAAGGCATTTCTAACTTTAGGCTATATGCCTCTTGATAAGCAAGTTGCACAAATTGGACGGACAATGCTATAGTTTTTTTTCAAGTCCTGCACAGTTTGTGAGGTACTGTCTATCTCAATGTCCCCACAGAAGAAACACACTGGCAGAAATTTGGTGGTGATGCCTGCAAGGAAAAATGCATGAAAGTTGACTACTACTAAAAGTGATGTCAAAAACATTAAAATATATTAAAGGTGTAAATAATACTTTCTGGATCTAATCTTTGTTGTTTTAGTTTTTATTATATATACCTGCATAATAAGTAGTTTCCATTTCTGTGGCACATTCAAGTCCCTCTGTCACTACAACATTATCATAACAACGATGACCCTCAGGGAAGAGTGAGGAACCACAAGTATAGAGGAGGTTATCCTGAACCTCCTCTATGTCTGTAATCTGTAGTCTACTGAGCCGTTCCTTCGAGTACACCACTCTCCGCTTCCCACAAAGGCAGCAGATGATGAAGCTGCGAACTTTCCCTGGAATAAAAGGAAATATATTAAAAAATATAAACCTTCTTTTTCTCATTTTGAAGCAGAATTAGATTTGGATATCCATGAAACCCCTTGTCGGATTAAATGATAATATACGGCCTTTTAAAGTACAGTATACAATACCTCCTATCAAAACGCCTTTGTGCTTCTTGTCATTGTCAGTAGTAGTTCCTTTAAGGCTTAATCCAGGACAATCCTTGTCTGTGGTCTCTGTGTCCATGAGATCCTCAAGAGATTGGTATGTGCCATCAGGACCTTTGGTGGGATCCGGTAACCAATGAAGGGGGTTATCACCAGGAAGCCTCTTTGGATTCAGGGTGCAATACCAGCACTGAGCAGTACACTTTTTTATCTTATTTTAAAAAAAGATAGAACAAGTAAAAATTAAACATTGGAATTTTACGTAGATATACATATCAAATGAAATAAAATGCAATTTCACATGTACCTGGAATGAATATTGCCGTGCTCGACAATGTTTGTCAATGAAGTCCTTCAACTTCTTTGGAGCATTTTTCTCGTTACACTCTATCACACTGCAAGAATCTTCTGTATCTTTAAACAAGTCTAGGACATCACTTAGATTCTTGATTTCTTCAAAGGTTGCTGCATCATGTACTACTACATTTCTGTTGTGCAACTTCAGCTTAGAAAATCTGTGTTTCAATAAAGATAGAGTGGGCTCTAGTGATTCTTCAAGAGCTGTTTTGACATTCGGTTGTCTCTCAGAAAGATCCCTCAGCTTTTTCAAACTTGATGCAGGTTTGACAATATATTCAAAGTTGACATCCATGGAATTCCTTTGCAAGGATACATTCTGAAGGGCCAAATTCAACAAACTCATGCAACGCTCAGCTGGATTATAGTAGCTATGAAATGGTGCAGTCCTTGCTGCAATGAGCAGATCCAAGTCCAGCGCGATAAATGTTGCAATGTGCGCAAGTTTTACGCTCCAGAATGTTGTTCTGTGATCTGGACCACCATCGGTGTAAATGAAGAGAATAGGACAGTCCAGGAATAGTCCATCAGAACTTCTGCTATTTCTAAAAATAGATATACTTTCAGCTGCATGGCGTATTGGACTCGATGGTGTGAAAACCTTGTCCTTTACAGTTACGTGAAGAACACCATTATAAAAGCTGTCATCTTTGCACTTTGGTAGCTCAACATCCAGAAGTACTGAGGGCACTGCACCATGAATATGGAAGTCATGGTCTAGGGCTGACAATTTGGCTCCCTCTGGTATCAAAGATTTGTTATGAGCTCTAACACCTGTTGATGTCGGTGAACCAAGTTCACCTATTGGCACAATAGACTTGTCATCTAGGCATATTAAGGCACAGTCTGTACCTAAATTCACGGCCAATTCCTTCAACATGGAAAAAAAATTGAAGGCATAAGAGGAATCGGGATGTGTGGCTCTGGTAAGTCTTTGTTGTACTGCATTCTTGACTTTAAAGCGGCCTGTGTAGCATACTGCTGATCGCACAAAAGCATTGGATGGCCAAAAATTCAGGCTTAACCATGATCGGGATGGTAAATTTGATCCTGCAGGCAGTCTTGCAGCTATAATTTCTATCAAGTCCTGGCAACTAATGGCTAAAGGCATGTACATTTTATCAGATTGACGTCTCTCCTGAACAACAGATTTCTCCTCTAAATACGAATCCAGGGCATTCCAAAATAGGTCCAATGATGTGTCTTTGGGTCTGCCATTATTTTTTCTCAAGTCATAAAACATTTCTGGTGCATCGGCTTGTAAAAGGAACTCCAAAACTCTATCATCAACTGCTCTTTCATCACTTGATGCTGCTGCACTTGCATCACGTGTCAGGAATCTGTACATATCTCGTAAGATAGCAGGCTTAGTCCCAGTTTTTGAATAACGGTTAATAAACTCATTTCTCATAGCCCTTGTTGCATAAACAGGCAAGTTTTCCTTTATGCTTGATATGGCCTCTAGATCACCATTTGCATCATTATCTTCAATTTTCCAGACAAAATGAAAATTCCCAAGATAATTTCCAAACCTGTGCGTGTAGAGTTTCACAGAATAAGGCAAAGTTAGGTTTACAATCCATTTCCGCCTGTCAAATTTATCTTCAGGTAGGATATCATACAAAAACAATGGATCAAATGGTTCACGTTCCAAAAGTGACTCATGCAATTTCAAATAGTTTTTATTGACACCTTGAGAAGTATCTGGTTTTCTTAGAGACCACTTGTCATTCAATCCTCTAACAGGTTCTGGCTTTTGGTGATTAAAAGCAGTTCTTTCCTTTTGCTCACTCAAAAAATCCAAATATTTTTTCATTCCAGAGACTAGCGTATTACATATATCAAGTAGTTTCTTTGATTCTTTACTCAAAAAGAATGGATGTCCCATCATGGTAAGAAGTTCCGAGATTTTTTCATGCAAATCTGAGGATGTCACCTATGAAATATGTGTTGTTTATATAGTGCATTTTATAATAAAGAAAACATACTTCTTTCAATATTAAATTATTTAATACATTTCATATCACTTTAGTATTTATGAAGTACAACATCTAATATCAGCTCATTTATTGTTTGTTATAACTTATCTTTAATACCTTCGGTTCTTTCTTTTTTTGATGTCTCCAATCATTATATCCTCTAAATTTGTTGATATCATCTCCGAAGTGAATACATTTGGCATTGAACTTTTCAATGTGTGGATCCAAGTACCAAAGAACATTGGTGAGTGTCTTTGTAATATACACGCCAGTACTCCCCACCTGTATTTGAAAGCAACCATACATAATTCTATCATTCAATATTCTTCATGAAAGAATTACAAATTCATATATAATTAAGAAATTAAATATCTGATCAGCTGAATAAGGAATAATAAGGGATAAATTATTTTAAACTGCTATAAATCCAAACCTGCACAGATGTAAAGCCAACTCCTTTCTGCTTCAGAAGATTCAAAACAATGTTGTACACTGTCTTTGGCATTGTTCTCTTTCCTATTAAATAATACATATGCAAACACATAAAAACATATACAGTCTAATTTCTTTTTAATATATATATATTTTCTAATTACTTCCTTTTATAAAACTTGAAAAATAGATTAGTTCTCGATATACAATGAATTTTAATTTCTAGTATGAAATATAATTGCCACTGCTTTTATGTGAAGATACAGTTAAAAGAAGAAGAAAATCTAGCAAAGTACTGCGAGGTTAAATATCCCAGGATGTTTATTGACATAGACACAACACAATTTAACCATATACCACATAAAGTAAAGCTGCAGAAAATACACACAAGAAAGGATGTTAAAAGAAGATATGATGTGAGTTTTATAGTATTGTATTACAACGTGCATTATTAAAATTTTACCATCTCAAAGTGTTTACTACCAACCCTGAAATAAATATTTGACAATTTTATTACACAAAACAATTTCTTAATTCAATTCACATGTTGAAATAAAAATATGTGTACTCGAAAACAATTGTACAGTTTAATAATACATACCTTGCAGAGGGTAGTTTATTGTATGATTTTTGGACATTCATCAAAATGTCAAAAACATTCACTGATCCCTTTTCCTTTTCTTCAGCTGCATCTGCCTTGTCTAGAGAATGAAATGAAATTAAAGATAAAAACTCTCGTTTTCATGGAAATGTAATAGCAAATACATGTATCAGATTTCATATTAAAAAAAATTATTGTATCCTTCAACAAAACATTTATTTCAAGAATACATGTAGCCTATGTTATTGTCAAGATTACTTCCATAGTACTTGACACCAAGTTCTTTAGATATTTTTCACTTGCATGCGATTTCTTTTAAATTATTACGCAAAGACAGACATATCAGAGTTCTTACCAATCTGTTTTATATCAACAAATATGTATCTCACTCCAAATGACTCCAGTACAGATATCGGGGTATCCGGTTCTGTTACCGTCGATGGGTTTCCTATTTCCGAATTAGAAGTCCGAATTTCCGTAATGGAGACATTGTATTGCGACAGATATGGGTGAAGCGCATCTCCTATTCGTTGATCAGCCTTTCCACTGACAAAAAAACTTTTGGAAAGGGTTGGATTCCCTCCACAACAAGCTTTCACCTTGAACTAAGTGCGCCCCGCCATGTGATGTGGGGTTCGACAGTCTGTATTTGTGCAGGTCATTTGGATGTTTGTGAAAGTCAGCGTATCTACTATCTTAAAACGCTTTAATGATTAAGATGTGTTATAAGTTATAAAAACGGTCGTTTGGTCGAAAAAATTCCGGAATACGAAGACAGTTTCGAGAGTTAGACACATTATTTTTATTTTCGTAAATCGGGAAAAATAGGGTCGGCGGAATCATAAACCAAGAGAAAAAAAACTTTGGCCTTAGTGTATTCTACTTATGTGCCATGTTATATTGAAATCAGACCAAAACTGTAGGAGGAGTAGCATTTTGAAACAATTTTACAGATATTTCTATTTTTAGTAACCATGGCAACACCGTTCATCGAAATCAAAAACCGATACACAGAATTATGTATCTTAGTGTAGTCTACTTGTGTGCCAAGTTATAATGAAATCAGACCAAAAATGTAGGAGGAGTAGCATTTTGAAAGAATTTCACAGAAATTTCTATTTTTAGTAACCACGGCAACACCGTTCATCAAAATCAAAAACCGATACACAGAATTATGTATCTTAGTGTATTCTACTTGTTTGCCAAGTAATACTGAAATCAGACCAAAACTGTAGGAGGAGTAGCATTTTGAAAGAATTTCACAGAAATTTCTATTTTTAGTAACCACGGCAACACCGTTCATCGAAATCAAAAACCGATACACAGAATTATGTATCTTAGTGTAGTCTACTTGTGTGCCAAGTTATAATGAAATCAAACCAAGACTGTAGGAGGAGTAGCATTTTGAAAGAATTTCACAGAAATTTCTATTTTTAGTAACCACGGCAACACCGTTCATCGAAATCAAAAACCGATACACAGAATTATGTATCTTAGTGTAGTCTACTTGTGTGCCAAGTTATACTGAAATCAGACCAAAACTGTAGGAGGAGTTGCGTTTTGAAAGAATTTCACAGAAATTTCTATTTTTAGTAACCAAGGCAACACCGTTCATCGAAATCAAAAACCGATACACAGAATTATGTATCTTCGTGTAGTCTACTTGTGTGCCAAGTTATATTGAAATTAGACCAAAACTGTAGGAGGAGTAGCATTTTGAAAAATTGTTTACAGACAGACGGACAGACAGACAGACAGACAGACGGACGGCGGACGCATTACTATCGCATAAGCTCTTCTGGTCTCTGACCAGTAGAGCTAATTACCTGTTCACGGGAAACTGTTTCTTGTAAATTCCGAAACATAAGAATATATATCCGGATTTCACAGTAGACAACTTGAACTGAGGAGGCATCTTGGTGTAATCGATAAATGGTATCGTCAAAACACCCGATTCTGAAGTTTTTTTTTTTAAAATTAAAATTTACGTCGTCATCCTTGGTCGTTGCGTTGTAAAATGAATAAATTGTAAAGAATTTAGTAGAACTAACCTTTACGCATGCGTAGTATGTATAAAAAATGTCGCAATGCGGATAAATAGGACTAAACAAAGTTAATGTTCATATTTATCAATATAAAACACCTCTCGATGATTCCTACAATTAAACCAGAAGTCTCTGTCGAGACTGTAGCTCTACTGGTTTATACTTAAAACAAAGGAAGAGAAAAGTAGCAGTTGGGACTTGAGACTTTAAATCAGCAATAATAGAAAAATGATCCTTGCCACTCATCAAAATAAAAACCGATGCACAGAATTATGTATCTTAGTGTAGTCTACTTGTATGCCAAGTTATATCAAAATCAGACCAAAACTGTTGGAGGATTAGCATTTTGAAAGAATTTCACAGAAATTTCTATTTTTAGTAACCACGCCAACACCGTTTATCGAAATCAAAAACCGATGCACAGAATTATGTATCTTAGTGTAGTCTACTTGTGTGCCAAGTTATACTGAAATCGGACCAAATCTGTAGGAGGATTAGCATTTTGAAAGAATTTCACAGAAATTTCTATTTTTAGTAACCACGCCAACACCGTTTATCGAAATCAAAAACCGATGCATAGAATTATGTATCTTAGTGTAGTCTACTTTTGTGCCAAGTTATATTGAAATCAGACCAAAACTGTAGGAGGAGTAGCATTTTGAAAGAATTTCACAGAAATTTCTATTTTTAGTAACCACGGCAACACCGTTCATCGAAATCAAAAACCGATGCACAAAATTATGTATCTTAGTGTAGTCTACTTGTGTGCCAAGTTATATTGAAATCGGACCAAAACTGTAGGAGGAGTAGCATTTTGAAAAATTGTTTACAGACAGACAGACAGACAGACAAACAGCTAGACAGAAGGACAGACAGACAGACAGACAGACGGACGGACGGACGACGGACGCATTACTATCGCATAAGCTCTTCTGGTCTCTGACCAGTAGAGCTAAAAAGACAGAAGATAAACCAAAACTGGTTTTCTTTGGCCTAATTTGATGAACAGTGCCAGGTAGTCATCCAAGCAGAACGAGGTCTTACCTGTGGCTGTCCAATAAGTTAACAATGGAAGTGTTCGACAGTGGTGAAATGTTTTAAGTAAGTTATAAGCCTCAAACTGACCATTATGTCAGATATTAGACTTCGCCTCGGTTCGTCTAATATCTGACATAATGGACAGTTTTCGGCTTATAACCATTACTTATTTGCTAGTATACATTTCATAATGTACTAATCATTTGATGCACATATTTGATTTTTAAATTGATTCTGTTCTTTTGCTCAATGTAAGTTTTGCTTCATAACAGGTTTGCTTTAAACATTTAATTCAGTGATAATCATTTGATGTACATTATTGATTTCATAATGTTCTGTGTTGCTGTACAGTTCTATATTGTAATTCATTAATACTTTGTTTACAACTTTACACAGAAATGTGCCAAATATTATTGAATAATACTTTTGAATATATTGTATATATATGTACTGTGATTTGCTGATTTTCAAAAAATATTTCGTTTGTTGACATGATATGTTTACAAGATTTGGTTTTGAATAAATGTTTAAATGATATACTGTATTCTGTATCCTTCAGCATGATTGAAATGATGTCCCTGTTTAAATTTCTTTGGCTTGGTTTGAACATATTTTATTGTATAAATACTATACAAATGGTTTGAACACAAGTTCTAACAACTTACTAGGTTCTCACCATACAACTGTCAATATATATACATAAGGAAAAAAGTGAAAAAGAAATATTGATGTACAAACAAGTCTGTTGAATAAACAAGGTCTTGACAGATAGCAAATGAAGTATTAAGTTGAGCAAAAGGACATGACATTGTTTAACTCAAAATAAAGGTCATGAATAGTTTTTCTCCTATTTCAGAGAGGATATAAACATCTCTATTTAAAGTCAATGCCCCTCATAAATCTTGTCAGAAAGTATGTGTTTATTGCATATTTATATTTTCTTTGCACCCATCATTTGTGGATGTATTTAGATTATACACCTTTTAGCTTATTTTACGACTTTCATATAAACAGAAAAAGGAGTGGGTAGTTTAAGATTAGGCCTACTTTGGGTATAAACATATATATATATGAGAAAGTTCTGACACAGCGCATCTAAAAGCAGTCATGGCTTCGAATGTAAAAGCTGTTTTTTCACAACAAATTGATGATGATGGTGAAATGCCAATCTTTGTAGTAAAGAAGAATGATTCTTTAAGAATTGGGAAAAGACAGTACTCCATCAAGGTGTCCTGTTTCAACAGGAAGGTCTACTTCAACATTCAAAGTAAGTTTAAAACTTATTGAATAAAGCTTTGTTTTATGGTAATTTATCCAGAAAATTTAAAATATTATACTCATAATTATTAGGCACTTTAACTCTTTTTTTTCCTTTTTTCTAAAGTATCGGTCCGTCACCGTGTAAAACATTAATGTTTACCTGTTA